CCCCCGCCCCCCGGTCTCCAGCGAGCCCCCCCGAGCCGGACCAGCACCCTGCCCGACTCGCACTGACCATCTGCTCTCTTCCCCGCAGCTCGCCGCCGTCCCGCGCCCTCCAGTCCTGGGGCGGCCACTGGCAGACCTCCGTGCTGGCGTTCAAGGCCTCCGTCCCCATGAGGTAACTGCAGGGTGCTGCTCCCGCTCGCCAAACCTTCTCCGGTGCTCTCACCTTTCGTTGTTATTGGAGCATTTTTTAAATTCAACGTAGGTAAATCCATACAGGTTCAGAGGTGCGTCTGATCCCAGTGCGGTTGGGAAGAGCCAGGTCTGGTTGGCAAAGCATTGTTAATATTTGGGCAGCTCAGGCGGCGAGCAGTTGAATGTAGGATCCCATAGGCTGCTGGGATGCCCTTTGGATAGGAGACTCTACTCCCCAAATAATACCTCTTTTTATGCTGTTTTATTATTGGTTGAGCCAAGGGTACTTCACTTCCACCAGTTTATCCTCCAGCCCCGCTGGAAGAGCTTAACCTGCAGGATAAATGTGGCCCACAGAGCCACATCATGCACCCCACAGGGCTGCTCACTGGCCAGGAAATATGGCAGTGAGGGTGCGGTGGCAATTAACACTGACATCCCTCCTCTGCTGCCCAATTTCCAAGCTGGGTGTTGCTACAACTGGGGCTGGGCCCAGAGGTTGACCTGGCACTGCCCATCCACTCTGTGTAGCAAAGAGGTTGGGCAGCACTGAGTTAAGGTACTTGGTCTGCCATACCAAGTCTATCAATGTGTCAGACGTGTCAATCATGTAAATAACAAACTTGCACTTGATACATAAAATGTGTCTTGTTTAAAACTCGTTAGCTGTACTGTAGTATTTTGGCAAGTACACCCCAGGTAAATTCTAAAATGTCCTGTGCCCTAAAGCCCTCGCCCTGCTTTTACCTCACATAACACTGCCTAATAAAAATAATAATTTTGCCTTTGCCATTTACAATTTCAAGTCTAGCCTGACTTTAATCCAGCTCCTCAGCTTCACTAAAACCTATGTCCTGTGATCTGTTGTCTATAAACAGTTTTATTTTTCTAAAACTTCCTTGGGCAACAGCACAATGTAGAAATAAAAGTTATTGCTAGTTCATGAATACGCAAAGATACAGAATTTTTAAAACTGATTTTTTTTTCCATTAGAGCAGAACCCCAAAGGAAGAAGAAGAAGGTAGATCCAAAAAGAGAGCAACAGGCGAGGGAGCGTTTGAAAAAGAGGATAAGAAAGTTGGAGAAAGCTACCCCGGAACTGATTCCCATTGAGGACTTCATAACACCAAGCAAATATTTGGAGAGCAACAGGTACAGAAAACTGTCCACTTTCCCTGCAGAGTTGATAATGAACAGGAGAGGTAGAGGTGGAAGCAAATCTTGGAGGTGATGCTACTCATCCATGAGCTACTCTGGCTTTTATCTATGGGTAACAGTATGGTGATAAACAGCTAAAGGATTGAGAAAGTTGTCACTTTCAAGTTTCAGCTTTGTTTTCTTTCTGCCCAATTTTGAAGCACTGTTCTGTCTTTCTAATGGAAGTAGAATTGTAGTTCTGGGTGGAGGATGTGCATTTTTTCAGAGGTTGTCTTGAATTTGCTCTGTTTCTCTCAGAAGGGAAAATAATTGCCTTGCTCTGGTACATCAGTCTAATTAATGTTTGTAAAGGAATCTTGCAAAATGTATCAGCCTAGTGAAATAGCACTTATGTCTTCTCTGTTTAAAAAAACAAAACAAAGTACCTTGGATAAATTGAATTTCCTGTTACAATCTTTTACTGTACGATTATAAAGCACTTTTATGTAAATTAACACAGCTACTGTGGTTACTGGGTCAACTTGACTCCCTACAGTTCACCTGTGATTTTTATTAAATGCTCTTTAGTTTTGGGAATGGGAGCAGTTTGTTTGTTAAAAATTGTTACTTTGTTTGATATTTGCCAGGGTCCGAAGTGCCTCCCCGCTGTCCTTTGAGGAGAGCGAGAGACGTGCCCTACTAATGAAGAAGTGGACCCTGTACAAGCAAAAACAGCACAAGGCAGAGATGAAAACAATTACCATGCTTGTAGCAGCCCAGGAGGAAGCACTAAGGGAACTGCGTCTGGAATCAGAAGAACTTTACCAAGCAGCAATAAGGAGAGATGTGGGACTGTTTCCTTTTGAGAGAGAGGGACCAAGTTACACACCACCAGCTCCTGGCTATGAAGCTCCTGAGGGGAAATGCAATGATGTCACCAAGGTGTACACACACTGAGATGGGGAGAGTTCGCCATTAGGCTGGTAGCAGATGCTTAGTTTATTAAAAGACACAACGGGTTTAAACTAAACTGTCTGTTTTGCGATGTCAAAAATTATGATTAACATGATTGTCAGGAAATCCTCACAGAAAATGAAATTCCCACCCTTCCCTGCCCACTTTCTTTTTTAGAATTAGCCATCTTGCTAATAAAATGTCCAATAAAAACTAAGTAAACTAGGTATGGATTTTTGTATTTGTCACATTACAGCAGGTTAGGGAGGGTTTTATTTTTTAAAACATATTTATGGAATCTTTTTCTTTTATCTGTTCCTTGGTAGCTGTTCTCTGCTCTAACCACAACTCTTGAGATATAATCATGATATGAGGAAGGATTGTTGAAACAATTGTGTCAGTCTGTAGGAAGAAAAGTTTCAGTTTCTCCTTTAAGTTCCATTTGGATTTTTGAGGTGTATATGGGTGCATATGAAAGGGAAAATTGATACAGTGGGAAAAAAAAGATAAAATTAATATTGCAAGAAAGTGAAAAATAAAAAATGCTGTATGGCTAATGAATAATGTGATAAGAGATTCTACTTTTAACTACATTTGCTTAAGACCACAACAGACTTATCTGTGGATGCCATTTACAATTTTATTTTTATGGTTGCTTTTAATATTTCAGCAAACTCGTTTACAAAAAACACAACACCACCTAAGAAAAATTTCACCAGAGCAAAATGCAGATCTACTGCATCTTTGGTGTTTGCCACCCTGACTGTACCCTTAAATACATCTCAGGAAGACGTGTTAAAAAACATTAAATGTACTCCAAACTGGGTACTAGTCAAGCGGTTGGCCAATGGGAACAAAAATAAGCTGACGTGACTTGATCAGATGCTAGAGTTTTGTAGCTTCTGCATCTCTCAGTGGAAAAGACTGCGTGAACCTTTCTCGTCTTCCGTTATGAAAGGGCCAAACACGGCTATTACTATTACTACTCTGGTTTGTTTTCATGAAGTGGAAGGTACCAATCAGCTGGCGGGTCTTTTCTCAGCTTCCACACAGGAGCATGTTTCTGTTTCTCCAGAATCCGGGCTCTTTCACTCTTACAGAGAGATTCCTAAAATGCATGACAACATGATACTCCACACATCCTGTTTCATCTTCAAAGCACCCTTTAAAACATCAACTACTCGCACAGACCATGGTATTTCTTACCTATGAACATATAATACAAAGTGGAACAAAAGTGGTCATGCTACAATGAAAGCTGATTGCAACAGTAACGTGACAATGAAGACATGGCACAAAAACTTGACTTATGACATGATCATGCTTGCTGTTGCTCCTGCGGTAGATATGGACATAGATAAGGACCAAGGGAGAGATTTTTAAGAGGGTGCTATAGTCAGCATGACAAAGGTTGTTTAATTTCGGTGGTAACACTTAATGGGGAGTGGCAAAAGGTACTTTCCCTCCTACTGTTCTGAATCTGGCTAACATTTGAAAAAAGTTCTAGGTTGCAAGAGACCGTTGCAAGCATTTTGAGTTCAAAATTTAATTATTTTTAAAGACCTGTAAAATTTCTAAAAGCAGCGATTAGTCCCACTTCCCAGAACTCTCACACATCCACGTTAATAGTAGTAACAATTTTTAAAATCTTCATGCAGGGCTTTACAACTGTGGAGAAGGCCTGTTCTTTTATTAAACTAAGCTTGAAATATTTTGGGTTGCTCTAGCGGGGCAATGACTTATTGCTGACAAGTGAGGAAAACAGCCTTTTCATGGGTGTGGAAGTGGATGAGCAGATTTTGCGTGTGAGATGGTGAAAGGCTCACGAGTTGAATGTGCAATTTGATTTCCAGGTGAGTATTTAATACAGCTTCCCCTTGGGTGTTCCCTGTACCTTAGCGTGTGCACTCTTGTTTTTCTCCCACTCTCTGCAGTCCTTGTAGTCCGTTTTCCACTGAGCGCAGGAAGGCGCCTCTCCGAACGTGTAGTAGTGATGGAAGAGGTTTTGGATGCCCTTGCAGTGTTTCCATTCGGACCAATAATCGTCACAGGTTCGTGGCGGCTGGCAAGAAAGTGCAAAGCTGCTGTACGTTTAAAAAGACAGGGAGGTGAGGAGAAAACAATCCCCCCCGCACCCCGATTTGTGGCCTCAACTGGGGCCCTGCTCCAATGAAAGCAGGATGGAAACTGGCTCTCGAGCTCTTACACCATTTCAAGCGCTGGCTCTAGCCGGTCGCTCTCTTTATAATAAAGCCGGAGAGTCATTTTTACCCGGTGACGATGACTTGGCACATGCGGCAGGTCTACGTTTACTGCACGACTGAGCACTGCATTGGGCGATGGATGTAACGTGTAGCGGCGCCCACAGATCTCTGGACCGAGGACCAACCTCTGCCCTGGAAGCTGAGCGATCTCCGAGCTGAGCTGGCCCGGCCCGGCCCGGCCCGGCCCGGCCCGTCACCCCGCGTGCCCGCGACGCCCCGCGCTCACGTAACCGGGGGGGGGGGGGGGCTGAACCCGCTCCCACTTACCCGCCACGCGTCCCTGTCAGCCATGCTGCTGCCGCTACCCCCCTCGGCGCAGCCTCCTCAGTCCAGCGAGCCAATCAGAACGCAGAGACGCTTGACAGACAGCGCAGCCGGAGCCAATGGCCAGGGAGCTTGCGACAGACCTCGTTTGCTCGGTGGCAGCTGACAAAGGTTCGGAAGGATCCGCTGGTGCTCGACTGCGAGCTTTGCTCCGCCCTGACTCGTGCAGTAGCCAATGGTGGGAGACAGCGGGCGTGAGAGAGAGGCGGTTGAGCCACTCAGCTTGTTCACATGCTAACACACCAATGCAGCCAATGGCCAGGCTGTGGGCGGGACGCGGGAACGTGGCCTGCAGCCCCCTGCGAGGCGCTGCGTGACGTTAGCGCCCCGCCCCCGGAGGACTCACGCGTCGTAAAGGGCGTGTTTACCTGCCCCAGCCAGACGGCGTCAAGGGTGGTCTGCGGGCGCTTCTCGCACTTCCGATGGCACCGCGCGTTATTACGGAGATGCCTCGTTATTATAAGGTCAGCATCCTTAGCAAACCGTCTCGGTCAGAGGAAGATGCCCTGACGGCCGGCTGTTTGCACCTCTCTGGGCCGGGGCACTTGCCTGGCCAAGGGGACGCGGGAAACTCCGTGAACGCGGCAGACACACAACTGGAGCCCTGAGCTTGTCAGTGCTCCGGGCTCTCTCTCCCTCCGCCCGAGTCAGGCTGTCTGCAAGGCCATCCCTACAGGTGTCTCAGTTGTAAGAGACAACTAAGGAGACGGTCTAGGTGGCCGCAGTCACACTTCTCTATTAAGAGAGAACATGGATTTCACACCTGGCCGGCACAGGCAGGCAGCTGCAGGTCACGCTGTGCTTATTACAAATCGCTTTGGGGAAAATAAAACATCTTTGCTTGATTTCCAGAGGCCAGCACGTATCAGACTAGTCAGTGCTGTTACCCACGCAGAACTCAGAAGTTGCGCCTTCACCATTCAAATACATGCCACTATTTTACTACAGTAACTGCTCGATAATAAGATAATCTATTGTATCTCTATTAAAAAGGCATGTCATTAACTAAAATAGCAAATAACCCCAAGCGGTTGATTCTTTAGAAGCAGGATCCCTTAGGTTGATTTGTTACTGGATATCGAAGCTACAATCAGACAAGTTTTGTACAGGGGGTGTAGCTCTCTCTGTTAGGGAGCAGTACACATCTTCCATCAACAAGGCAGGGGTAGAGGAGGGGAATACCGAGGTACTGTGGGTCAGGATGGGGGGGG